TATCTTGTTTTCTTGAAATTTGTTACAATAGGAAAAGTCTCAATACTCCCTGTTCATTTAGTAATATCAGAAAGGAAAACAGTTGCAATAAAGAATACTTACCTTGGTCCATGATTAATTATCTCTGGTGTACTGAGACCATGGAGTCTTGCAGTTTAGTTTACTTTTTTTTTTTTTAAAGGATATTTTTTGGAAAAAATAAGGTCATGATGGTGGCCCTGGGCCGAGGTCCAGCCGATGAGTACAAGGAGAACTTGCACAAGGTAGGTTCTGACTCCTGGAGTTTTTGCACTTGTGTTTCGGAAGTAATCTCTGCTTTGTGTAAACCTCTATGAGGGAAACTAGAACTGCTGTAAACAACCAGACTGGATCAGTATTTTTCCATCTGCCATAAATAGGGTTAATAATTAGATGGGAAGATCTTTAGGGCAGGGACTGTCTGTTCCATGTTTGTTCAGCACCTAGGGAAGTGGGTCTGTTACTGGGACACCTACGTGCTACCAGAAGAATAATACTACAAAGTCAGCCTTTCACTAATTTGTTGCATCTTCAGGTGAGTGAACTTTGACCTGGAAACTTTTGGATGATGTGGCCCCATTTCCAGTCTGGGCAACCTCTGATACTAGCTGCCACCTAGTATAGCTTCACTCGCTATACATCAATTTGAGCGCAGTGAAGGATTTATGCTTCAGTGCACATAAGGACAAGTGCATGAAGATGAAACAGGACTTCCCTTTTCCATCCCCAGAACACTGAATAGGGTGCTCACAGGATATTCAGTTGGGAGACATTCCTTAATAGTACTGTAGCAACTCTATCCTGTGTAATCCTTTTGCAGCAAAAATAGGAAGACTGTCCAGTGGGAACTACAGAGGCCCCCCTATGATAGACAGGCTTTCAATTCTGTTAGTTCTGTTGCTGAACCAGGACTGGAACCGGTTGTGGGAATCTTCCCAGCATTCAAGCTTTAAAAAATGTGGTGTCTCAACCCCATGGAGTTCTGCAGTTTGAAAAACTAAACCTGGATGCTAAGAGCCCCAACATGAGAGTAGATCTTAGTGACTTCCCAAACTCAGGTTCTCATGCTTTTCCTTATCGACCTCCTGGGGAGCTTGATTTCCATCTAGTCCCCCAACCCAATGATTCACAACCCTTTCTCTCCTCTCATGACTCAACAATCATCCTTCACAGCCTAGTGTGGGTATGTTCTGCTAAACCGTGGCTTTCCTCAACCAGGAGAGAAGTTTCCTGTTAGGAAAATTCATGCAATTGTATCCTTAATTTAACCTGCTTCCCACCATTAATCACCCTGCGAAGGAATGCAAGAAACTTTAGGTTTGTTTAGTTGCTATCTGCATATGGGAGGATAGGGCCCTGTGATTTATCCAGGCTTCTTCAAGTTCCACCACAGCCTGGATATATTTTGTTTTGAAGGGTCTTTGGCACTGCTCATAAATATACTGCTGTGTTTCATTTGCCTCTCATTTTCCAGATAAGCAAACATCTGCGAGGTGAAGTTGGTCTCCTCTTTACCAATCGTACCACAAATGAAGTGAATGAGTAAGTCTTACTAGGGGCAGACTGAGCCTAATGACAGAGGGTCTTCATTTTACTGTGACTGTTAATAAAGCAACTTGACAGAATTAAAGTGCAGACCAAGAATCTCTTCCCTCTCCATGAAATGAAAGCTATTGTTGGGCAGCAGATCTCTAGTTTATCCTGGTGTTGATCTCATTCTTAGCCTTCAGGACATTTTCAAACAGCAGCAAGGCACCAGAGTCCCACCTCTGATAACACAGAGAGGTACAAACTGTCTTCAGGTGTTGTCTGGCTGCAGAGGAGACAGCATGGAAGCAGCATAACATCTTTTGATAATCTGGCCTGTCATTCACCCCAGCCAGACTATACAGAGGAATCTGTTAGGGAATTATTGTGAACTCAGCTGCGAAGGGATGAGTTTCTTTAATGATGCTTTAGGAAACCTTGCAAATTTGCTCCCTAGAAAGCTATTTTTTCCATCAAAAACAGAAGGAATATCAGCAAACTCAGTTACCACCCCCCCTTCTCTCCCTCCATTACTTACTCCCCAAAAAATAGAAGGCTGTGCTCTCAGAGCCTTCTATTAGCTAACAAAGAGCCAGAGGCTCAAGTAGTTATTCTTAAAGCAATTTGTTCTCTTACATGGAAGACATGTGGTGCCATAGTGGTGAACATCAGTAGAAAACCATAATGAGGTGCTGTTTTTGCTGCGACTTTGCTTTTTGGGGGTAGGGGAGGTACTAGTCCAGACTGATTCTTCCCAGATGAGACTTTAGTGAGTGGTGACTTCACAGATAGCTAATGCTCTTGCTCCCTGGTCTTCTCTCCTAGATGGTTCTCAGAGTTCAAAGAGATGGACTTTGCCCGTGCAGGTAACAAAGCACCATACACAGTAAGTCTGGACATGGGGCCCCTGGAGCAGTTTCCCCACTCCATGGAGCCTCAGTTACGACAGCTGGGACTGCCAACTGCTTTGAAGAAAGGTATTTGGGGCAGGAGCCTTACTGAATTTTCTTTTAAACCTTGGTAGCATTTCTGTTAGTGTCTTATAATACACATGGGGTCTCACAAGGAGAACTAAATAACAGAAACAGATGTTCAGTGGGGAACATCTGATATAAGTCCCCTTTAATTTCATATTTGTTTTTTTCCATATCGTAACATTCTGGCATGCGTGAGCCCAGGCACCTGACAAAGGCTCCATTTGCAAGGTGTTTTTCTTTTTCAAGCCAGTTAGCTGGTGACAACCTGACCTGACCTACAAATAACAAGGATTTCTCAACTGGAAGATAACATTTGTGTCATGCTATGTCTTTGCAAAAAATAACACGTGGAGTAGTTTGTTGATTTCCCTCCTCCAAATTCCTTTGGTAGAAACAGGCTGAACTGATATTTGCATGAAAATGAGAGAGCCACGAACAAGACTTCAACACTTGTTTCATATCTGATATTTTCTGACTACATAACAGTAGATCAATCACAGGGTTCACCTTTGGCTGTGACAGACTGGTTTCAAGAATGAATCTGTATGTATTGTTAAGAGTTCAAATAAGTAAGCCTAGATCAAAATCAACCAGTTTTGAAGGACAGAGGGAAAAATCAGAATAAATGGTAAACTTAAGTAAGAACCATCACTGAAACCCTGCTGGATGGAATGGAGTCCAACTAGCTTCATTACAAAGTTGGTAGCAAAAGTCCCAGATAGGAAGTTTCAAGTGACCTCAATGGTCCTCTGCCTCAAGTGCCATTCATCCCACCTGCCTTTTTCCGTGTTCTTGCAGGAGTGGTGACACTGCTTTCAGATTATGAAATCTGTAAGGAGGGGGATGTCCTGACTCCTGAACAGGCTCGTGTGTTGGTGAGTAACGTACTTCCAGAACATCTGCAC